AGGTCGGGAGTTCAAGATCAGCCTGACCAACATGGTGAAACCCCGTCTTAAAAAAAAAGCTGGAACTGAGTAAAAAAAAAAAAAAAAAAAAAATGAGTAAACTGAGCTTTTGTATCTTATCCAATTACATATTAAACAGATTTGAAGAGATATCATCTCTTCCCAAGCACATTCCATAAAAGCACAAAACTAACCATGCATTCAAAACATAAGTGTTTTATTTCATTTTTTATTCATCCCCCTTGCTAAGAATGTTTAGAAAGTGCAAACAGAGGCTGGGCGTGGTGACTCATGCCTGTAATTCCAACACTTTGGGAGGCGGAGGCGGGCGGATCACAAGGTCAGCAGTTCCGAGGCGGGCAGATCACGAGGTCAGGAGTTCTGAGACCAGCCTGGCCAAGATGGTGTAACCCCATCTTTACTAAAAATACAAAAATTAAGCCAGGCGCGGTGGCTCATGCCTGTAATCTCAGCACTTTGGGAGGCCGAGGCAAGTGGATCACGAGGTCAACTGGTCAAGACCATCCTGGCAAACATGGTGAAATCCCATCTCTACAGAAATCAGCTGGGCGGGGTGGCAGGCACCTGTAATTTCAGCTACTTGGGAGGCTGAGGCAGGAGAATTGCTTGAACCCAGGAGGCGGAGGCTGCAGTGAGCCGAGATCGCGCCACTGCACTCCAGCCTGGGCAACAAGAGCTTGACTCCGTCTCAAAAAGAAAAGAAAGAAAGAAAAAAAAAAGCTTTGCGTAGTGGCAGTATCATGGCCAATGAGGTTTATCCAAGGCGCGATTATTGCTAATTGAAAACTTTTTCCAATACCCCGCCATGACGCTTTGCAACATAATCGGCATTGGCAATTTTTGACAGTCTCTACGGATACTGAATAAAAAAATAAAATAAAAATAAAAATTAGCCAGGCAATCCCAGCTACTCAGGACACTGAGGCAGGAGAATCGCACGAAGCCAGGAGGAGGCGGAGCTTGCAGTGAGCCAAAATCGCGCCACTGCACTACAGCCTGGCGACAGATAGAGATGCTGTCGCAAAACAAAACAAAACAGTGCAAACAGATTAAAATACAAACATTTTAAACTCCTTTAATAGTTTTGTACATTTAAATTTTGATTTTTTTTTTTTTAAGATGGAGTCTCGCTCGGCTGCCCAGGCTGGAGTGCAGTGGCGCGATCTCGGCTCACTACATCCTCTACCTCCTGGGTTCAAGCGATTCTTCTGCCTCAGCCTCCTGGGTAGCTGGGATTACAGGGGCATGCCACCACACCTGGATAGTATTTGCATTTTTAGTAGAGATTGGGTTTTACCATGTTGGCCAGGCTGGATGACTTTCTTTTGATAATTTGTAAAGCCAAAAGTATTTTAGGTATTCAAATAAAAACCCAACCCTAGTAACTTAATCCAAAATTTACCCTTTTTAGCAATATAGTTACAGATATGCAATATGTATTAAATTGTTTTAGAAATAATTATTGTACTATGCCAACTAATTTCATAATAAGGATTAGAAACTATCTTGATTACAATGCTATTTTTCCTTTGTAAGAAAGAGTACAGGTTACTACTGGAAATCTTTACTTTCTTCCTTGAAATGCCAGAAATTCTTCTGTAAAATAAACACCTCTTGTCAAGACTTTCTGGACTAGTATAATTACCAGAGGCAATCCTTGTGTAAGATCAAAGAAGCAAAACAATAATAGGCAACGTGTGACCTCTACCATGTCACCGGAGACCAATTTTTCAACAGGGAGAACAGTCAATAATCCAGAACAGAAAACATTAAATAACAAGAAATGTTTCCAAAATGTGGCTCACCGCATCTTTCAACACTGCCACATTCAGAGTTCAGAGTCTCTATAGTTTCTAAAAACAAACTTCTGGGGATTTATCACAACAATCATTAAAATCTGCATAAAACACCAGAGGCAAAAAACAACTTGCCAATTTCCCAAATGCAGAGTAGAATTTCAAAAGATACTACAATAATGTTCCAAATTTCATGTGATGCTTTAAAAAGTATAGTGGGAAAGGCACAGATAACTAAATATTTTCCACCTAACACTTAACTAATTTCTGTTATTTACCTAGCCCCAATTAATTTTCCCAAAAGAGTTATTTGCAAAGTTGGCTATGAACATTAACCAAATATATGTAAGTAATAATAACACATTAAATACTTCTACAGGTTTTTTTTGGCTTTGTTTTGTTGACAATGGTGGGTCACTAAACCCAGAAACAGGGTTTCCTGTGTAATATATTTGGGTGACTAAGCATTATAAGGGTACAAAGAGGGGTAAAGAAATTCTCAAAGTAATTACTGTAAAACAGAAGTACATTTAAAACTGACTTCTAAAAAACACTGCAAATCAAATTGTGCCTTAGAATCAGCAAAACTTGATTGTTTTTCTTAAATACTATTGCCAAAAAGCTGTCTTCTTTCAAAATCAGATGTGAATTAGGGGCTAAACAAATGTATTTGAATTATTTAACCTGCAAAACACACATTCTGCTGGTAATTCAGAGAGTAAGCAATAAAAGAGGGAGACTTTGCTTAAAAGAAAAAGCACTGGAAATTTAAAGCAATCATGAACCTTCTTTTTTTTTTATTCTGTTCTTTTATGATTTCTTGCTCCTGCTACCTCCATCATCCCACTGTCATCTGCTCCTGTCTTTCCAACTTCTTATCTTATTAACATTGCTAATTGTATTGGTCAGTTTTGCCACAATTTTAAGGCTACTTAAATAGCTGTGGGTTTTCTCTAGGCAATTATCAGTCACTATACTTAGGTTTCTAAATTAGTTGTTGAAAGGTGCTTTAACCTTGAGGAAAAAAAAAAGAGCACACTACACGCTAAGCCTTACATTTATGTATATGTTCCTTTATCATGCTTATCAAATATTCAAATCACACACAAGTAGTAGATACTGTAAATTTATAAATTAACAAGGCCTGTTATATATTCCTTATCATTTTATCCTTCCTTTACTATATACATTGTAACATATGCTTTCTTTCTATATAGGTATATAAATTGGAATATAAAAGATAGTGTATAAATTGGAATATCAAAATATTGCCAAATTCCTCTAACAGTCTCCTTTCCCAAGCTGTCAGTTGGCTAATATCTTTCAAAGGTATCCGCAATCATATAAGCGGTCTCTTGAGGTCATGGGTTGTGTAAAGACAGCTTTTACAATATGCAGATTTTCCCCTTCTCCATTTCCCTTCGAAAAGAAAACTCCTTATTGTATTGCTTTTCTTATTCTCAATTCTTGACTCTGACATTGATTTTCTTCTTGACCACATTCAGGAAGAAACACAAGGTTTAAGGGGCTTTGTCAACTGACAGCTCCTTCTATCAACTATCAACAACTACATAAAAAAATCTGTAACACAAAAACATGACACTTCATGTGCCACCCATTTTCCTCATAAGTTAAAATAAACTCAAAAATAACTTTAGAGTTAGCAAGTTTTGGTGCTTTTAAAGGTTTAATAATAATTCCCTGTTTGTGGATAAGGCCAAAAGCTTGTAGAATGAGTTTTAAATTAATGTAGGTTCCTGCCTTACCTCTCCACCTCCACCCTCCATCACTCCCCACTGCTACCACTTTCTGCTCCAAGGAAAGAAAAAGGCTACATTTCAACAGGGCAAAATTCTTCCTAAGAAACACTAAAATGATAAACATTTTGAAAAGCAAAGTACACTTCAAACTCTAACTGTTCTTTCAGACTTATATTGGCTCTTATAGATGTTGCCAACATTTGGTAAGGATTATACTTCCATTAGACAAAACTGAGCATTCCTTAGATAAATCAGGAGTTTTTGCCATGAGACTCATAAAACCTTTTCACAACACAGATTTTCAAGAGAATCCTTTAAGGTTTAGGAGGCTGCTCCTTTACTAAGTAACAAAATACACCCCATGGTGTCTCACTGACCCCACTCAGCTGTCCTTTGACCTCCTCAATTGTTGCGGCCTAACTCCAGGTTCCACAGAATGTGCCTCCCATATCAAAAAGGCTAATGTTGCTTCCTCCTAGCACCTGGTGAAACAAAATGCAACAGTTCTTTTTCTTCTGCCTCCTTTACTCCCTCTCTGACTATTTTCCAGATGTTCCAGGCCCAAATGTTAAGTCCATCCTGGGTTTCAGTATCTGCGTGGTCACCATGAAGGAACAAACAGGGACCAGGCCTAAGTGGCAATGACCCTCTTGTTCTTTTTAGCCTCAAAAGGATACAACGGGTCATAAAAGAGGAAAAGATCTTTGGCCTCTCTTGGAAATGCCAGGCTATTTAAGCACATTGTAACTTCCAAAAGGAGAGAGACAGTCTTGGGATATGCCCCTTCTGACAGTTAGGAGTTACCTAAAACAGTAGTCTGAAATTCTCAATTCTAAGCAAGCATTTCATTTTCTTTAATGGGGGGAGGAGGAGGGGGAGTATCACCTTTTTCCTTTTCTAAATTAGAAGCCTCCTAAAATAGAAAAAAAAAAAACTTTTATAAAATCTTTATAACACACATCTCAGGATAGTGTTATATGAGACAAATATATGCAGTCAATAGGGATAATCTGGGTTTTTCTGCAGAAGCCTATAATCTAGAAGTCTCATTTATTATACAATTTGAGGATAAAATCATAATCAACAAAAGGGAATAAAGAACTGAATTCTTCCCAAACTAAAATGCAAAGAGAAAAGAAAAAAAAAAAGAACTGAACTCTTATTTTCTTAATTTAGGTATATAGGAAATACAGAGGCTACTGTAGGGAAACAGCTCACTGCAGAAGCTTTCTGGTATGGGGCAAGGGGGTGGGGAAGGGAGAGGAAAACAGGGAAGAAGGGAAAGGAAGGAGAAGAGCTCATGGAAGTATCTTGTTCACTTTAAGGATCAAACATAGTAGTTTTATTTAAATTCTAAATACAACTTCCTAAAACAAATTTGATCTTGAAAAACAGGGAAGGGGCATATATAATTGCACAATACCTTGGTTTATTAACATTTTTGAATCAGAGTCATGATTAAGTTGGGCAGTCAACACTTCAGGGAGTCTGTTGCCTAGATTTTAACTTGTTTTAACGCTTTTTTTGCACCTGCAAAAACATAAAAAATAAAAACATATACATAAAGACATGAGTTAATTTCCAAATACATATTCAATAATATAACAAATATTTATAATTCTATAAAAATCACAATTAGAAATTATCAAAGTCTCACACTTTCGAACTCCATATACATTATAATGAGCAAAGACACAGATACTCCACCTTTCTCAATGGTCTTAAAATAATAACTCCTAATTATAGATATTCAAGGATAATTTCGTTCTTACCATGTCTCCCCACTAAAAGTAGGTTGAGTCTCTCAAGTTTGCATTTATGGCAGGTGTTACCATAATATCAAAAGCCCACAGACTATTTACTTTTAGGAATAAAATTAGTGGTAGATAATTTTCTTATCTAAGGAATTGAAGAGTAATAATCTCTGATACCTGGCCCAAATTTATCTACGGAAAGAACAATCAAAAATGTAAAACATAATTAATATTCATTGAATAATTTTCAATAAGGAAGCCTGCAGGAAGAAAAAGAGCTATTGTTTCCTACCTTCTGAGTAGCATATTCCTAGAAGATATTGAAATATAATTGGTTGAAAATTATAGTATGCATGTTAACCTCTCCTCTAAATAAATTATGGTCAATATAAACTACTACATGGAAAAATAGGAAATGCAGTTGTAAAACATAAAGTGAAATGAAAACTACTTGTCATTGATTTTTGTACATAACTTAGAAGCATTATTTCTAGTCCTTTGTTACCATGTTTAAAAAGAAAACAAAAGAGGATTTTCCTAAGATATAGCACCAAAATATTTGAAGTAAAATTAACTTATGTTGTCTAAAAATGGTTTTTTTCATTTTATTGTTATACCAACTTGAAAGAAAAAGACCATTTTAGATTTTCAAATAAAAATATTTATCTTACCTCTTACTGTCAGAAGAATGTCTTCAGGCAAAAGAATAATAAAAAATACAAGGCCTAGGTTTTCAAACTCACATATATTCCACCCATCCACACACAAATAGACATCTTTTTCTAAGTCAGCAGGAGCCTTGCTACCTACATCCAAACCCAAGATTACCCCATATGGTCAACAAGGTCAAACTGCATTACTGCCAATGAAACTATATTACTCCGCAAGGACCTTCATGATTAAAAAAAAAAAAAAAAAAGGTCAATAATCGAGTTCCAATAGCTTCAGAGTCTAAAATTGCTAATTTTTGGCCACGTGCTGCACACTTCACCTGTTTGTAATGACATTTTTGTATTTTCTTCTAATTACACTCAAAGCTAAGACCTTTGGCCCTGGGCCACAGACCCCTATTCAGGCTGCACACATTCTCTTAAACGACCTGATCCTTTGTTGTCACTCTTACTCTTTCATCTATTATTTATACCCATAGAGAAGGAAGATACTCAACCATTTGTATAGCTTAAAGCTTCTAATCATCTTAATTTGCCTTTCAACCTATGGTCTTTTTCATAGACAAATGCCAAAAAGTTTGACAAAATCATTTTTTTTTTTTTTTTTTGCAATCACATTGCTCTCCTCTTCCCCTTTCTTACTCCCTGGCCAACCTCCTTCCTGTTCCTTGTCTTTCATGGGAGGGACTTTGTATTAGCCAGGATTTACAAATTTTGACCTTCACCAACAAAATGAATTTCTAAATGCAATACAAATCTCCAACTTGTTCTAACAGATCAATAAGAATTATATTTCTTTTTTTGATCAAACAGCCCCCTTAAGCTGGAGGTTACTGAAAATAACTTAAATTCTGTCCCCAGCCTCCCAAAAGCCTGAGCATGGAATTTTCAGAATTCCTCTACAAAAATGCCAAAAAGCATGTAGTAAACAATAAGAATATTAGTTATAGAGCCAAAACTTTTAATTTAATGTCTATATTTGCTCACTTGTTAACAAAAAGAAAAAAAGAGGAAAAGAAAGAAAAAAGAGAAAATAAACATTTTAATGTTATATATTTAAAATATTTAAAAGACTACTAATTCTCCAAACAGCAAAATCCTCACATAATACATTCTGTATTATTCAGATTATTTCCCAACACTCTCTCCAGATTAAAAAATATATATTCAAACACATTTTGCAAATCCAAAGCATGGAATTGTTTACCATGATGCAGATGTCTCCCTCAGATCACGATAGGCACCAAAAGATTCTGATTTCCAAGATGTTTATAAAATGACATCTGATCCATCTTTGCTCTCTTCCCCTATTGCTCAGCTTACTCTTGATTTCTAACAGTGTTTTCTTGTTGTCTGTCTCCTCTGCAGCCCCTGAAACCCCTTGACTTTTCTTATTTTCACCATTTGCTTCAACCAGCAGTTCACTGGAGACCCATCCATCTTGTAATGCCTAAAGTGACAGATGCTCTCAGGAACGACCACACTGCTGAGTGAACAAAAGATAACATCACCTCCAGGAACTCCAGAGAGAAATACAACTGCAAGCTTAAGACAGGGGGTAACTTGACAGACACTGGACCATAAACCTCTTCTAAGCAAAAAAGAAAACAATTGCCACACACACAAAAAAAATCTGACACAATCAAAGGCAGAAAAGAGTGATTATTTGTGGATTGCCTTTTCACTCTGTAACTCACTTTTCCCCACCCAATGCTTTTATATTGGGGCAATTCACTCACCAATAGGCAAGAGAAGTTCTTGTGGGTGGGGGAGTGCGGGGTAGGAGGAGCCTTTCTCAAGTATCTTCTTTTATTCATCAATATTCAAAGTGAAATTCATTCACAAGTGTTTCAGGAAATCTAAGTCTACCATACAGCATTCTTAAGTCTGACCCTCTTGTTTGCATAAAGCAGTATCTGGACTCAAAACCGCTGACTCAGTTCTACTGAGTGAAAGGCACAGGCAATGTTTTGCAAATTAAAAACACATTAGAAATTAAAAAGCAACGTGCAACAATATCAACAATATGTGCAGCACATTTAAAAAAGCTCACCATTCATTCATCATTCAATCTCCAAGTTTGGTTAAAAAGACATTTTACAAGAGGATTCTGGGAAGGGCTGCAGATCCCTTTTCTAACAAAGGAAAGCTCATATTAACATCTCCCAGCAACAAACTAATGACAGGAAAGCTGCAGATGTAGGAGACTCTGCCTGATGTCATCTAGGTTCTAGGACCTTCATTGTTGCTGTTGTTTAAAACATCTTATTTAAAACCATCAGACAGCAATAAGAAGAAAAATTCAGCGAAGGGAAAATTTCAAAGAACATAAAAACAAAAACCAACCTAGAGGTCAATTAAGAACATGGTGTGGTCAATGCCAATTATGGCGATTAACAACCTGTTTTTATAATAGATATCGAGCAACACAGGAAAACCTCTATTGCAGCTAAATACATTATTTTCCTCAAAAAGTGCAAATGATACAAATATTTGTTACATCTAAAGAGCCAAAATGCTTAAGAAAACTTCCATCCACAATATTTCTAAGAAGAAATGCAAACAGTTAAATTGGCAGTTCTTTAGTAAAAATATTTTTTCTCTAAAATTTTTGCACACAAAGCCTTTAAGTTATGCTACAATCATTTTTCTTTGGAGTTACTAATGACTCCTCTCCTCATTTTCCAAAAAAAAAAAAAACAAATAAATTTTAAAAGATATTTTATCTTCTGTGATTGAATTACTTGGGGGGAGGAGTTTTAAAAATTCCAACTTGATACAAATCAACATATCAGTTATTTAAATATTTTTATGTCTCTTATCTCCTCAAACATTCAATGTATCTTTTATAAATAACACAGTATAATAATTCGCAACCTCAGAATTTTCTGAGGGGTTTTTTTTTTTTTTGAGGTGGAGTCTCGCTCTGTTGTCCAGGCTGGAGTGCAGTGGTGCAATCTCTGCTCACTGCAACCTCCCCCTCCTGGGTTCAAGTGATTCCTGCTTCAGCCTGCTAAGTAGCTGGGACTACAGGTACACACTACCATGCAGGACATTGTGCTGGCCTGTAGTCCCAGCTACTTAGCAGCTACTCCACCTCAAAAAAAATACAAAATTTTTGTATTTTTAGTAGAGACGGGGTTTCACCATGCTGGCCAGGATGGTCTCCATCTCCTGATCTCATGATCCACCCACCTTGGCCTCCCAAAGTGCTGGGATTACAGCCATGAGCCACTGTGCCTGGCCTTTTATGGTTTTTTTTTTTTTTTTAAGGCTGGCAAAGCAGGATACATACAAAATAATGAGTATGTAAAATTATATCACAATAGAAAAAAAGATTAAATAATTATAGAACACTTTTCTCAGATAAAATGCTTGTTCTAATATGGACTAGATCTTTAACTAAAAGATCTTATAAAAAAAAAAGTCTTATACACACTGGCCCTAAGTAATCCCCCACAATCTATTAATCCACAAGTACCACATCATTCAACACTTTCAAACTTCAGTGTTAATGAGAAGAAAGAGAAGTGACCTTGAAATGACAGCTCCATTGCAGAAGGCTCAAAAAAAGATCCAATTAAATGATCTATTTTAAAACACAATAGAATCAATATGCATGCTAGAAAAGGACACCCCTGTGGAAAGTTCTTACTGTCTGACTGATCAAAAACAAAATAAAACTTTTTTTTTTTTCCAAGGGCCCCTTCCAGATCACACAGTCTGTACCAGAAATCCACACAGGAAAAAAATTCATCAAAACGAAACCCTAAAAGAGTTTACCCTTCACCATCCTATTTGCACTTCAAAACCCTGTTAGTCCTTCAGTTAAACCCCAGGGCTGAACCATTTCAATAATAAGAGAGGTGGCCAGTGGTGATTTATCTCCCATTTGGCCTCTGGACAGAGCTGTAATGTCTAGGAAGCTTCCCTTCCCTGACTCCATCCCTCCCCCAAGTCTCTACCTTAATTTGTGTCAGCCTTGGGTCTGCAGTACCTTACAAACAATTAATGTGCCCCTTCCAATAAGATGTAGGAACACTCCGTACTCAAGATCTGGGTATCTTTTCTCAGCAATTATTTTACAAAATGGCATGCTGCTGAG